GCTACCATTCAGTGCCACGAGCAGCCCTTGGGTACTGTTCCCAAGGTCCATGTAATATTGCAGAGGCATGTCAGCCACGACAGCCTCAACACATTCAGAGCCTTAAGCATTTCCGGATGACTCTCATTCACCCCTGGTGCCTTGCCACTGAGGATCTTGCAAACTACCTCACTGACTTCCACCAGGGAAATGGAGCCTGACACACCAGAAGCCTCTGCCCCTGATTCCCGTGAGGGAGGCATATCTCACAGATTAAGGAGTTCCTCAAAGTGCTCCTTCCAACAACCAACAATATCTTCATCAGAAGTCAGAGTTTCTCCACCCCTGCAGAATACAGCTTGGGCAAAGCCACCCCGACCGCTCCTGAGTTGCCGGACAGTTGTCCAGAACCTCCTTGAGGCCGATTGAAAGTCTTTTTCCATGGCCTAACCAAACTCCTTGTATGCCCTGGATTTAGCTTCTGCCACCATTGCCACTGCCACCTTCCGGGCCATCCAGTCCAGCTTCCACTGTGGAGGTTTTGAACAGGGTCTATTCAGAGCCCATGTCCCCTACCTCCTCCGGAACATGAGAAAAGCTCTTCTGGAGGTGGAAATTAAAATCATTCCGAACAGGGGCCCCTGACAGTCGTTCCCAGCACACCCTCGCTGCCCTCTGATCTGACTCACCACCAGATGGTGATTGGTTGACAGCTCAGCACCTCTCTTCACCTGAGTGTCCAGAACATGTGGTCTCAAGTCAGATGAAATGACAACAAAGTCGATCATTGACCTTTGACCCAAGGAGCTCTAGTACCATGTACACTTATGAACATCCTTGTGTTCAAACTTGGTGTTTGTTATGGACAATCCATGCCTGGCACAGAAATCCAATAACAATTCACCATTCGAGTTTAGATTGGGCAGTCCGTTCTTCACACCTCTCCAGGTCTCCCAATCATTGCCAACATGAGCATTGAAGTCTCCCAGAAAGACTATGGAGTCTGAAGGCAGGGCCCTTTCTAGAACCCCGCCTACTCACTCCAAGAAGGCCGAATACTCCAACCTCTTGTTTGGTGCATAAGCACACACAATGGTCAGACTTTTCCTCTCTGCGATTTAATTCGCATTGAGGCGACCCTCTCATCCACTGGGACAAACTCCAACTGCATGGCAGCCAGCCGGGGACTTGTGAGTATCCCCACACCCTCCTGGCACCTCTCACCCTGTGTAAGGAGAAGGACCAACCCCCTATCAAGGAGTTTGGTTCCAGAGCCGACACTGTGGGTGGACGTGAGCCCAACTCTGTCTAGTTGGTGCCTCTCAACCTCCCGCACAAGCTCCAGCTCCTTCCCCCCAGTGAGGTTACATTCCACGTACAAAGAGCCGATTTCTGCCGCAGAGGTGTATGCCGCCAAGAGCCTCCCTGCCATCTCCTACTGCCTAAACACTGCCTGTCACGAGTTAAACATGTTATATTTACATTGAGTAACTGTACAATGTTATAGTATTAATTTATAGAATTTTTCTGTTCTTCTTTTTCCTTTCTCTCTCATTTTTTCTTCCTTTGAATAAAAAAAACATTAATTCTAAGTACAAACTGGGAGGGGGAGATGGAAGATGGAACTGCTGTTGTATGTAAAAAAAACTTTAATGTAGCACCCCTACACCAGGTTATGATAAATGTATGCACAGCAAAATGTCCTGTTAGGGTGTCCTGGGTTACGCAGATTTGTTTTTATAGCTCTGAATAATCTTATTGCTTATTTATTGAGTATTCTTAAGTTAATGATTGCAAGACGTATGCATTGGTGGTGCCTCCAATCAAATTAGGTGGACAGTAACTATGCTAGTACCCACTTCTGATGAAATATAATAAATTTAAAATACTCAAACATAGGAGGTCTATTAAATTTAATAAATAAAAATGAAAAGGTGAATTAATATAAAATTTGTGTATTTCAGCAATATCTTACTAATTCACAACACTGCACAAAAGGATTTAAACTCAAAAGGTATAGCTTTGGAAATGAGGCCATTACACCCAAACTGTTCAGTGGGCCCATGCACACACACTCTCACTCACACTCTAAGCCAGTGTTGATACATTAAATTACATTACTGTAGCCCTGCTGAATAATGAGTGATAGAGGTTTTGTTCCTTTAAATTGTTGATATAAGTTTTTTTTTAATATTGGTAAGCTATGTTACATCCTCTGTCTTTATTTCTTTTCCCCTTTTTCTAATTTGGTTTCAATTCATGACCTAAACTCACTGTCAGGGGCTTTGCCAGTGAAAAAGGGGCAGGACTGGGGAGGGGGGAGAGAAAAAAAAAAGTATGAGAATGGGAAGGTTCCACATTGATTCTGTTGCAAACGGAACAATTGCAGTTTTTACAGGCATATTATCAGCTCGATATCATTACATAACTGTGATGCAAGGAAAGTGATAGTAACGTCTTGTAATTGTAAAAACTAAGAAAACTTACCTGTATGTTTCCTTCTTTTCTAGAGTATTGGGTTTTGATTACATTCACATATATGTTGTCCATTAGCTGTATTTGTCTCCACAATAATTATATAGACCATTCTTCAGTCTGTATCACAGTAACAATAAACCTGTAGTAATATGTTTGTGTTAGCTAATAAAGCAATGATTATTATGCACCAAGTCATTCTTAATCAGAAAGAAATCATGCTATTTTATTTATTTGTTTATTTTGCGTCACATGATGCCTACATGAACACACCATATATATATATATATATATATATATATATATATATATATATATATATATATATATGTATCACTGCATTTCAGAATCTGAACTATGCTGTGTTCATCTAGGTGTCCATCCAGTGTTGTTTAGCGAAGTTAGCTGCTACAAAGCTGCTGGCTGCTAGCCTGAGCTGGGCTAGCAGGCAGATCAGTGAGTGTCGAACTTGCTGGTTAATCTGCTTTAAGTACAAGTAATTACAAGACATTACCATCACTTTCCTTGTATCACAGCATCACAGCTATTTTCATGATGTCGACTGATAACACAATTGCAAAACTGTGGTTGTTCTATTTGCAACAGAATCAATGTGGAACCTTCTTGCTCGCATACCCCCCAACCCCCCACAGGTCCCACCCCTTTCTCCCAGCAAAGCCACTGACAGTGAGTTTAGGTCATGAACGGAAACCAAATAAGAAAAGGGGGAAGAGAAATAAAGATAGAGGATGTAATGTGGTTTATCAATATTAAACAAACATTATATAAAGTGTTTCAATAAAGATTCTTTCAGTGATCCTAAAAGTCTCTCTCTTACAGCACCCCTGGGTATATAAATTCAGAAGGTAAATAAGAGTCCTTAATGTTTACTCTTTGTGGATCACAGGACCAAATGTTCAGGCATGGACCATCACTCTTCTTACACAAAGATCTGGACACTGGAGAAATTGCTCTTTGGGTTTTAGTCCTGCATATATTAAATATGTGAGAAACTTTAGCCTTTACAAACTGATCTACAACATATAACCCACAACTCAGAAGCATGTTTATAAAGCTTCATTATGTGTAGTTTACTGGTAGCAGTTAGTTACCATGAGTCAGAGGTTCCTCTCCCTCCACTGGACTATGCTAGCTCCAACATGGACCGGTCACTCAAATTAGGAAAGTTTCTTATGGACCGGTCACTCTTCATAGACACACAGCTGGGTTCTCCTTCTCCTTCGCTGAAATTAGGAAAGTCTCTTACGGACCGGTCACTCTTCATAGACACACAGCTGGATTCTCCTCCTTCTCTGCTGAAATTAGGAAAGTCTCTTATAGACTGGTCACTCTTCATAGACACACAGTTGGGATCTGGAGATCCTGCACGCTTCACTCTGAGAAAAGTTCATCCACAATGAGATGCTGAGTAATTATTTTTTTTACTAAGGCACATTTATTCTGATCATAAGTCACAATTTCCTCTTTCATTTTAATCAGATTAAAAGCTGATATAAAGTTACTTACTTTGAATCAGAGGTTCTTCCTCCACTGCTGGAGTGCTTCATCACTGAAGCTCCATCACTGAGGTTTTACTCTCCACACACAGCTGGACACTGGAGATGTTTCTCTCTCTGCAGAGTTTGACAATACAAATGTACATAAGACTTTGTAAAGCAATGAGCTGGTTAAGATCAGTTGTTTTGGGCAATGGCTGTTTTTAATTAAAACAATCCGATACAGTCTAGTAGTAGAGATGATGTTGAAGCAGACACAGGAATCTGCCTCTCTCTCATTTGCTGCTGCCCACACTTTTTAATATAACTACAGGATATGAAACTACAGTGTTATGAGTCTGTTAGATAACAAATTGTTTTGGGCAATGGAAGTTTTTATTAAAAATAATTACTAAAATAATCCAACACTGCTAGAGAGGTGGTTGAAGCATTTGTAAGAAAAAAAAATCAATTAATGAATAAATTTAAGAAACTAAGGGTTGTGTTAGTTTTGTGACATGTTCACTACAAGTGATTTTCAGTCTGTATCTCAAACGACTCTGTCACAGTAGTCAATACTGAATAAATATGTGCAGATATTGGTACTGAAATAAAGTGTCCAGGTGTGGAGTGTCCAGATGTGCAAGATGTGTGATAAGGTGTGCAGAAAGTGCAATATGTACAGTAAGGTGTCTACCTATATGTGCAGATAGATAAAATAAACTTATGATTTATGATGAGAGATTCAGTCCTCATCTGTCCTCTTCCCTCTTCTCTTCTGCTGAATATCCAATTTCAGCATAACTTTAACAACATAAAATAATAACATAACTGAGCTCCTAATGAGGGATTCTTCTGTAACCAGTTTTACAAACTGTAGCTGGAAACATGACCTGAAAAACATTCAGTCAGAAGATTTTTTTCTTTTTTTGCTTTAATCACTGCCCCCAAGTAAAAGAGGAACCCAGACAGAGTTCTTCTTTCACTTCGGGGCCTTAGTTCAGTTTTTCAAGTGCTCTCCTTCTTTTTTCTTTGTTTTGGGGTCAGTGATGTTCTTTTGTGTGTGTCTCTGTAAAAGACTTTCTCCATAGAGAGGTCAGCTGGAGACTCTCCTCACTGTTTTTACTCTGCTCTCATTCACATAGCGGCTGAAGGCTGAAGGACAAGCGGAAAGAGAAAATCCTTGAGGCTTCGTCAAACACTGGAGTGAGGTATGTGACACTAAGATGATGTACACCTGTTATAAGAAATGAGCCAAGTTGTGTTTCTGTGTCTTTTGTAGCTTCTGTAAAGTTCTGTTCAGTTCATTCGGAGGCGCTAAACCAACCGTTTCAGGTGTTAAACCAAATCTCCTTGTGTTTACATTAAAATCATAAAGCCTTTGTTTCTAACGCTACATCTTCTGAACTGGTGAAAGTATCTTTGTTTGTATTTTCCTTTAAACAGTTTTTAAATGTACACACTTTTATTTTAGAAAATAAAGTAGACAAATATTACAAACAGCTGAGAGAAAGAAAAAGCCTAATACAAAATAATTTTGTTAAAAATGTTGTAGCTGACACAGTGCTGCATTAAATGATTTACTAAACTAATTTGCAAAGTATAACTAAAGAAGTTATATAAAGAAGGAAGGACAAATGAGTAAATTAGACTGTGAGTGAAAAATTAGCAATTATAAATGAAATTATGTCTAATACTATGCTTAAACACCAATGGACTGCCCAAAAAACGCTAAGCAAAATGCCAGTGAATTGACAGATTTTCTATCAGCGGGCCAACAGTGGTGCACTATCCTCTTGCTATCAGGGACTAGAGATGCTGGCGTGGAGCAAAGCTCCACCAGAGGGCGTTAGAGAGAGAAACTCGGGGAAACCAGCACATGACTACTAAGATCATCTGTTTTCAGGAAGTAGTGATGATCTGGAGATCAGGAAGAATTTGGGGAATCTGCCTGTCTTATTTTATAAGATCACAGATCGGAGCTGAATGATGTACGAACTCTGCATCTGATTCGTGAAACTGCCATAAAATATCTAGTTTTGAGCACGCACCCATTCCTGATTCACATTTCATCAAACCACATGCCTGAATTTACCCTCACATACATGTAGGGTGGGAACGTGATGTCATAAGGCAGTGCTTTATGGGTCATCCATGGCCGGGTTTGTCAGTGTAGGCTGGTTTGGAACAGCTGAAAAACACTTTCTACATAATTTCTTTGATTTTGGCTGATCTGTAATCTTATGGTCTCACTCCATTTGCAGAGCTGACTAGCATGTGGGTCTACATGACCAACAGATCACAGATCAGATCAAAATCAAGAAAAACAGATCAGGAAGGAAGGTTTAATCAGGTAATCAGATGCCACTCTGGTTAAACTCTGGTCTAAACAAGACCTGGCTGGCAAGAAATGTACTTGCAGGTCAAGACATTCTGTCCTGACATACAGACATATGATGATTTGCACAGAATACATTCTCCTTTTAAGGAAAGTCACACACTTTCCTTTCATTCCCTTCTTTTGTTCCCTAGTAACAACACTCCTAAAAAGGAGTGTCCACAACCAGGGCTGGGTGAAAAACCTGCAACAAGGCCCAATTAGTACAGGAAAAGTCCCAACCTACCCAAATTTGGCCTAAGATATTCACACTCCTAGGTGAATTTGAGCATGCTCAGGCATTTACTCCACAAATCAAGTAATTTGTGACTAGTGAAAAATGCATCAGCATGCAGCATACAAGATAAAGTATGGCATGACAAGGGTAAAAGATCTTTCAACAGCGCGTTGGATTAAAGATCGAGAGCAAGGTATAACACAACTCAAACATAAGCAAAAAGCAAAGTTAATTATGTGGACGGTCCCGTAATGTCATCAGTAGCTCATCTTGATAGGTCCTGTCCATTGGGGATAGAGGTGATAATCTATTTGGACTGCAGTCTTCATCAGATAGGGTCCACAGCTCCTGAGAAACAGGAGAGAAGAGGAGAAAAATAACAAAAAGACACAACCAAATATTTACAACTCAGTCTATCTTTTATTCTACTAGCATGTATGTGTTGTGGTTGTGCATCAGTCAAAACAGCTGTTCTGGTTACTGCAATGGCAGTGCATGGTGGTTCATAGAGTAGTTCACCATCTTTCCTGGAAAGCAAACGTTTAATTACTATCTTTTCTCCTGGTTTAAACAGGTGCATTAGTTGGTCTGTGGGTGGAGTGAGAGAAACAGCAACATTAGCTTGTATGCTGGTTAACTTGTCAATCAGGGCGGCTGTGTAATCTGACTCAATTGTGTCCATGTCACCACTGATCAGCAGGTTTACCTCGCACCCACGGTGTTGGGAACAGTCATCCCACCAAAACCTCAAAAGGAGTCAATGGTTCTATGCACATATCAGGCATGCATCTAAAATCAACTTTGCTGTTTTTGTCACTTCTAGAACACAGTATCTCTTGTTAATATTATCAATCACTCCTCTTTGTGCGACATGTTAAATGCCACGAAAATGTTGCTCGAGGAAAGGCAAACAAGATCAGAATGATAACTATCTATTTTTTTTTTGTAGTATGGCAATGTCAATAAGGCTAGGATGAGTAGACAATGGATGAGAAAAAATGGAGAACAATTATGTTGTCTAATGTATGGTGGCCACATGGTGGGCCATTTTTCGCAGTGTATTCCGCAACAGAGTCTGCCAGAAAATTACCACCTGCTTCCGGAGCGTTGAGGTAGGCGGCGGACAGCTGTCACAATGTTTAACCTCCGTTTGCAACTTCCAGGTGCATACCCCTGTACCCCTTAATGTGTCTGGCAGTAAACGGAGATCACTTCCAGCATCACATGTAATGCAATCGATTACACATACGTCCAGGTATATAGCTTATTTTTGGTTCAGATTGCTTCATCCTAACGGGAGTTACAGCAGAATATTCGGGGCCTCTTTCGAGTGAATCTTCCTGTACAAGCATGTAATAAATCAGAAATCAGTGTGGAGTGAGATATTGGTTTCCCGTCAGCTGTAAGAAACCTGCACTGGGAACAGATGCAGCTGTAATCATGAGCCCGCCCCAGCTATACCTGCTGTTGGTGAGGATGCTGACGTCACTATCTTGAAACAGAATACATGCCCTAATGAGGGCCACAAGTTTTGCCGCCTGTGCTGACTGATAAGGAAGTGAGTGTGCCTAATTACCTAATTAGAACTGACACACAGCATAACCACATAAAAATACACCATCACAGGGCTTCGAGCATGAGCCATCTACAAAAAACCTTTTCACAACGCTCCAATGGTGATCACAACAAATCAGCATGACTGGCAGACTTTTCTATGATGTCAGCACAACAGTCGTGAGCCTTAGGCAGAAATTCGGAATCAATTATGCAACAGGTCTCATGTGGCCCCCATGCTGCTGAGCCAGCACACATGCAGCGACCCCGTAATGTTCATGCATTTAGAGAAGACTGTGTGTAGTCAGGCAGGCCCAGGTCTGGAGCAGAGCACAGGGAATGTTTCAGTGCTGAGAAGGTCTCTGTGGTCCATTCAATCTGGTCAGGAGTGTTTGACTTCCAACACAGTCTCAAAATCTTGTCATAATAAGAGCAGTCAGGAATCCATGCACAACAGTAATTGATCAATCCCAGAAAAGACATCATGCTTTTCTTTGTGGTTAGAGGCCTCTGTCTTTTGAGAGTCTACAGCTTCCCTTTAACTGAGATAGGAAACTGTGGTTTGACAGTCCTGCAGCTTGTCAAACGCAATTTTGAAACCACACGCAGCTAAACGCTGAAGCAGACACAAAGAGCCAGCCTTGCACATGCGCTCATCAGTAGCATGTCATCAGCATACTGCAACACAGTACAGTTGTCAGGCAAAAGGTAAGGTATCCAGGGAATCGAGCAAAAACAGCGGGAGAATTCACACATCTGGGAGATGCTGCCATGTGTATTGTTTTTCTTTGAAACTGAAAGCAAAAATCGTCATCGACTGGGATGCAGAAAAAGGCTGAATGCAAGGCTACAACAGTGAATTCTGTTAACAACGGCAGCCACATCCGGTACAATTGGCACACAAGGGATGACAACTTATTTTACCCGCTGTAAATCATGTGTAAATCTCTAAACTCTACCACCCACCTTGTGAACAGGATTTATTGGTGTGTTATATGGAGACGATCATGTGTCATCAGTGACTGTACTACCCCCTCAATTCCTTCCTCCTTTTGTTTCGACAAAGTGTATTGCTTGCAGCACACTGGTTATTGTGTTGACAATTGAGCTTTATATTGTTTACGATTTAATAGACCTACTTGGTCCTTGTATTCTGCCCATAATGATTTAGGGATGTCTTGCAGATATTTTGGGATTTTCAATGATGTTCTAATTGGTCCCTCATCAACAGGAAGGGCATAGTTACGCTCATTGGACACAATCATTTTTCCTCCATTAAAAGAAGTGGATAAACGCAATTTGGCCATAACATCACAACACTGGAATAATGACAAACCTGTGTAAAAAGGAGATTCCTTGAACATTTGGACAGGTTACTGACAGCTGAGGTGTTTTTGAACATGAAATTAGCACCACACTCACTCCCACAGAATCAATTGTGGCATCTGACACTGGCCCATTATATTCATTACTACTAATTGAAGAAAATGTTGCTCCAGTTTCCACAAGAAAATTTAACCTTTTGCCATCTACATACAGTTCCATAAGTGGCAAATCACCAGAAACAAGTGTTAATGTCTTAGAAAGCACTGCCAAATTAGGTGCATCTTCAACAGCTTGGGGTGCATTCTGTGGTCAGCCCTGTGCATTCATCGGTTTCCAGACAACAGGTTGTCCGGTGTGTGTTTTAGGGCCCTCCGTCTGAGTCTGAAATGGTTTTTGAGATTGACTTTCATCAGAGAGCTTCTTTCTACATTCTCTGATCCAATGCCCCTCTTTTCCACAATAATGACATGCCCCTTGCCTCTTCTGCTGATTATTTGACCCTAGTACCTGAGATAGGATCATTCTATAATCTGGACCTGAGAGCTGGGAGTAACGAGTAATTTTCAACAGTAAATCATTGAATTTGTGTGGTTGGTGTGGGGATGGAAGACTGGAAACAATCTGTTTTATCACAGTAAGATCAGGCGCTGTGATTTTTACCACATTGCCAGTAACGGAAAAAGGTATATTATAGGCCGTCACATCCGCTATATCAG